TTTGACTCTGGCCATCTGAATCGTTGCGTGGCCGCCCTGCATTGTTTTCGCGCCGCAGTGCTGTTCCTTGTCAATTCCTGTGGTGAGCCCGGTAAAAGCCAAGTTGCGGGTCACCAAAAGTGATGTTGGGCGGGCGTGGGTGCACATCATGCCACAGAGTCTTCAGCGGTTTCCATGAGCTGAGCTCCAAAAGGTGGTGCACGGAAACATGCCAAAAATGTAGGAGAGCCGAGAGGGCCTCTCCTGTAATGTTGTTGGTTTTCCGGTGGGAATGCTTCTCGAAGTTTTTATGCGTTGGAAAATGATACTCCAAAGCAAATCCAAGCATGGATTCCGGTGGTTGGGTTCCAAGACGCTTTGGGGCTGGTCCAGGCCCACCTGCATGGCCTACTTAGAAGGTCAATTACCTGTACAAGTTCAATTTGCTTGAATTTGCTTCAAAAATTGCCAAAAATTGTCTAAATGGCAGAATTCAGTTGGAACTTGTTGGAATTGCAATTTTCTGGCTGCCAACGCCAAACGGATCAGACAGGAGCATCTCTCAGTTTGAGGGCAGAAACGAAACACTCAAAAGAACAAGGCTCTGTTAGCGTGCAGCTGCAAAGGGAACAAAAACCACGTGACATTGATTCGATGCGAACTTTTGCAACCGCCAGCGTAAACAACGCGTAGTTGATGCTACCACGGAAAGTGACGGCAGAATGTGATGTGAGAGCCAAATCTACATGCACCGAACTTGCTTCCATGTTCTCTTTGCAGTCGGCAGTCTATCATGTCTACACTGCACGGGTACCCCCAGGACCGCTCCTGTTTGTGAACCAAGTGCGGGTTTCAGCGTGTCTATGTCTTGGCAGTCGAGAGACGCTTCTGAAGAACCAGGGTGCAACACCGTCCAGCCTACAGAGCTTCTTGCAACAGGGCGCACTTCTGTGTCCAAGCCAACAAGTATGGCACGCTCTTTGTCCAGACGGACTGGACCATGCAGCGCAAGTTCAGGGTGAACAACAAATGGCTGGATGATTTGGCAGCACGTGGAAAAATCAGTCGCGATCAGTGGGTAGACTATGCCGCTGAGGGTTTGGTCGGGTTTTCGACGCGGAAACGCAATGCCGACACGGTTGGGGCACATCAAAAAGCCAAAGCTGTTGTTTTGAGATCTCTTCAGTGTTGGCCCTGAACAGGAATGGTTGCGACAGTTTCAGCAGGTCGACGGAGGCACAACCTTGGTGTTGTAGGGGCCGAGTCGAAGTGGGAAGACGCGCTTTGCCATGAGCGATGTGTTCGGGGCATCTCCTTACAAAGTCGACGTTGGCGATACGGACGCCTTGAACATTGATGACTGGTATCACAGACAGCACAGCCACCTCGTCTTAGACAATGTGAACAGTTCCGAGTATATCATGAAATACCGGAACGTCCTCATGGGTCCCCCCGAGCCTTGTGCACTGGGTCAAAGCAACACAGGCATGTACAAATATACGGTCTTTCTGGGTCGCAAGCCTGTCATCGTGTCCATGGACGAGGATGCTGAATGGGTGCCTCGCAAGTGGCTCAATGCCAATGTGAAGATCATCTGGGTAGGCGACCGCTGCTATGAAATGTAATCGCGGCGCGAAATGGCAGGGTTGAAAGCCAGTAGAACTTGTTCAGAAGCCCACGCACCGGAAAGTAGCACCCTGGCTCTAAAGTGAAGCAGCAGACGTGATGATGCCGCCCTAGCTTTGAAGTGAAAGCAGCAGACGTGATTTTGCACCCTGCCGTTGGAGGCTTAAACTGCGGAGGCTCCTTCTTTTGGCAGCTAATGCCTGAGGTTTTGCCTCCAAAAAGCCGTTCCGCTTCCTAAGGGCCGCGTTTTGCCCTTGTGACAAGTGGAAGCAGCAGACGTGATTTTGCACCCTGCCTTTGGAGGCTTAACTGCGGAAGCTCCTTGTTTTGGCAGCTAATGCCTGAGGTTTTGCCTCCAAAAAACCGTTCCGCTTCCTAAGGGCCGCATTTTGCCCTTGCCAAAAGTGGAAGCAGCAGACGTGCTTGTGCGGCCCTGGTCTAAAGTCACATCATCAGACTGTCAAGCTTCCAACTGCTGCTGAGACCGAGGCATGAACGTGGTTTGTGCGTGTCACCCTTGCGCAGTGGCCATGCTTATCTCGTAGTCTGTGCGTGTCACCCATGCGCAGTGGCCATGCTTATCTCGTGGTTTGTGCGTGTCACCCTTGCGCAGTGGCCATGCTTATCTCGAGCTTCGTGCGTGCCACCCTTGTCATTTGTGCAGTGCAGCGGCTGTTTCAAAGCGGCCGTGCGTTTGCGCGGAATCCCTGTGCTAGTGTCCCACAGAACCAACAGCGGGCTTGAACTAACTCGCACGCACTCACCAGGTACAAGGTACTAGCTCGGCACGCACTCACAAGTTACAAGCTCATGCTCATGTCAGAGTTTGATTGGTTTTGAAGCTTTGCACTCGCAAAAAAATGAGCACGGCCCTTGCGCAAACATGTTGAATGTGCCTGGTCCTTGTGTGTGTGTGTGTGTGCCCGCTTCGTGGAGCTTCCCCGTGCCGGCCGAATCCTCAGCGTGCACCGAGACAGTCTTGCAAGAAGCTTGAAGCACCACTTTCTGTTTTGAGGCTCTGATGCCCACAATCTTTCTTCATCTCGTCACAGCCTTGGCAAGTCTTTGAAGAAGCTCCCGTAACCCTAAACTTCGGCAAGTTCTTTAAAGAAGTTTGTTTTTTGAGGCTCTGATGCCCACAGTCTTCATCTCGAGTCACAGCCTTGGCAACTCTTCGAAGCACCCCCGCAAACCCTAAACCTCGGCAAGCACTTTGTTTTTGAGGCTCTGATGCCCACCGTCTTGATCTCGTCACAGCCTTGGCAAGTCTTTGAAGAAGCTCCCCCAATCCCTAAACCCTAACGCCGCAAGCGTGACAGTCTTCTTTGAAGAAGCAAACTCCCCCAAACCCTAAACCTTTAAAGCTTAGACCGTGACAGTCTTCAACTCTGTTGACAGCCGTGGTAAGTTCTTTGGAGAAAGAGCCTAAACCGTGACAGTCTTCAACTTCAGTGACAGCCGTGGCAAGTTCTTTGAGAAGCTCTTGAAAGACCTCTTTGTGGGTCGAAGAAGCTTGAAGCAGTTCGTTTCTGAGGTCCGTCAAGCTTCAAATCTCGATTGCGTGAGAGCCTTGGCAAGTTCCTTTGGAGAAGCTCTTGAAAGTGCTTCGCTCGGCCTAGGTCTCAAGTATGCCTGTGAGCTCTCAGAGACTGCGTTCGGAGTACGGTCCGTTTTGTCCGCGCATGTTCTGAGTGTCATCCTTGCGCAAAGACTATGCGTGTTTTCGAGCTTTCAGAGACTGCGTTCGGAGTACAGTCCGTTTTGTTCGCACATGTTGTGAATGTCATCCTTGCGCAAAGACGATGCGTGTTTTCACAGTTCTAAACCCACAAGGCATCAAACTGTGACAAAACACCAGCGTACCAGTGATTGCACACGAGTAACGTGTGGCCCGCTTGACAGACGGGTGCCCCGTACAACGCTAGAGCCCTCGAGGTCTTCAGTTCTTACTTCCCCGCGCTCCGTTTGGCTATTAATATTATAAACTGCCAAGCGGGGTGCAGGGACGTAAAGCGTGATTTCTATGGGGAAAACCAGCATGTGGGCGCCCCAGAGGGGGACGTAAGCCCAAAGGAAGCCCAAAGGTGGAGGGACGTAAAGTGTGATTTCCATGGCAAAAACGAGCATGTGGGCGCGCCATAGGGGGACGTAAGGCCAAAAGTAGAGGGACGTAAAGCGTGATTTCCATGGGAAAACCAGCACGTGGGCGCTAGCGCGGCCAGCATGTCCGGATGTAAACGGCTTTTTTGGATAGAGAGTTTGACGAGGGACATAACCTGAGCAGCTTTAGGGGGACACAGCTCTTTCAAATCGCTTTCTTGGGCAGGAGACGCTGGAGCAACGTCTGGCGCGTTTGCGGGCTCGCAAGAAAGCACTTAAGGAAGAGAGCAAAGCAACCCAGAAAGCCTTGAAAGTCGCAAAGCAGAAGAAGCAGAGGCTGGACAGCTTGCAGCATGGGTGGTTGGGATCGTCTTGAAAGTGCAAGGCTTTTGAAGCGCGTGAAAGAGCTGAGCACGGAAGTGGAATTGGGGGTTCACGATCAAAATCAAGACTTCATGATTCATTTTCATTCCATGAGTCTTTGAATTCATTCGACGTTTTGATTTGTTTCAACAGAACTGAAACACATCGGGCGTCAGAAGCTGGAACCGAAGGACCAGGCGGACCAGGAGGGAGTCACAAGGAGTTGGAGGGAGTGACTTGCGCCACCGTTTCGTCGTTCGCAAATGATAGACTCTGATTATGATTATCTGATTATTTGATTGACAATTGACAATGTAAGTAATAAATAACATGTAAAATGACATAATATGCTCGGTAACATTTGTCGAAAAACGAAAAAGTCAAAGATCATGGCATCATGGCAACGGAGGAGTCACGACAATCCTAAATCGTGACAAGCAATGAGAGAACCGACAAAACAATCAAACACTTGTTATATTGTTGATAAAACTTGAATTTTGAAATCTTGAAATCATGATCATGAAAAGAATCTTTCTTACAAGTACTTCCTGAGCCATTGATTCACTGAGCCCTTCCTTTCCGACTCCACGGCTTTGGCCTTCCTAGCAGGCTAAAACTTTGGAAGCTTTTGGACTTCCAACTAGCTTTTGCTTAAACACACAAACGAACTCCAATCACAATTCTTTTTCACAGCCAAACTTTAAAAAAACTCCAAAACAGCTCCACTTCACAGTAACGCGTTGTCCACTCCATTCCAAACCTTGGACTTGTGTCCAAGCAACACAACCCTGTCGTTCAAAGGAAAACAAAGCTTTTCCAAGCAGCAAATGCCAATTTTTTCAACAAGTCCTTTTGGTTGCAGTGTTTTGAGGAACCAGGCCCTGCTCCAACAAGGCGAAAGCACTGGGTGCAACAGACCAATCAAGACCCTCATGCTGGATACATCCTTCGTCATCTGGATGCGCACAGGCTTGCCGTGCGGAGTCCCGGAGGTCCTGTTTGCGGTGGCAACCAAGTGGAAGACCGATCGGGAGACCACTTCTCCCGCATCCCCGCTGCGGCTCACCCTGTGGATGTGCATTTGGCGCGAATTTCTGCAGCGACTGCAACCGGCTCGCATGACACAGGAGATCCAAACTCAAACCAACATGAAGAAGCTTGGCTTTCTCACCGACGAGGGCAAGTGGAACTTCCTTCGGTGGGACCCGGATCAGGCCAAGTTGGTTCCGGACACCACCCGCCCACCTTTGACGGCGACGGCGGCGATCGAGCTGGTGGAGACCGTGATCCGTCTGGCGACGGACTCCCAGCTGCTGACCTGGTTCGCCTCCACCAGGCCTCTGGCATCGGAACTCAAGGGCCCATCGATGGCGTCGGTGTCCAATCGCTCCACACCGAGCGATCAAATGCACGCCTCCCTCGCGGAGCTCTGCGGCAGCGCCTGCTGTCAGGTGATCGGCATGTCCATCAAATCCGAACGATTGACGAGGTCCCCTCTTGCCCAGCAGATCTACAAGTACCTGCCTGCGCCGCCCCTGCCTTTCCCCTAAGCTCTCCCTCGGTTCCAGCTGTTACCCCAGTGGCTTCCTTCAGACTTAGCCGCAAGGTCGACGACGTAGTCCAGCTGAGGATGCGCCTCACTAACGGCTCAAATCTCTGCTATGCAAACGCCTCACTTGCAGCCTTGCTTTGGTGCAGTCGTACATGCACTCAGGCTGATTTCGAGACATGTGTTCATCGCTTTGGAGGCTTGCACACAAGGACGGCAACCTTTTGGCCTGTGGAGCCTGCTTGGTTGGCAACAGCTCCTTGCTGATTGGAGGAATCCTCGAGAGCAGTACGATGCTGAGTTTGTGCAACACCTTCAGGCGCGCATGCAGACTCCTGCACTTCAAGGACTGTGGCAAGCCCGCGATTCCCATGATCAGATGCGGGATTCGGAAGACACCTGTCCATTTCTTTTGACCGCGCCTCTGTTAAGCCACTTATCTGTCCAACAGCTTGTCGATTTGTGGCACATCCAGGCTCCAGCGCATGCTCTGCTGCAGACGCCAGAATGCCTGATCCTTCAGCTTGCCCGGTTTGATGTTGACGATGCTAATGCCCAGAAGGTTTTAGAGCCTGTTGTCTTGAAGGTTTCTCACTTTTCGAGCCACTCCACTAGGGTTACTAATACCACTTACGAGCGGCCATCGTCCACATTGGCCCCCGAATGGCAACTGGCGGCTCTGTTTGAGGATATGGCACGTAAGGTTTTCTACACTGACGACAATCGTGTTGCTAAGCTTGCCAAACCCGCGAACTTGCTGAGATATATGCGAATGCTTACCTTCTCTGCTATACCAAAGAGTCATGCTCGGTGCCATCTCCTTAGAGGACAGCTGTTGCGTTGTCGCGAGTGCAAGTGTGACCTGCAGTCCCCAAGTGCTTCTGCACTGCAGTTTTGCCGTGGTGCCGTAGCTGCAGCCGTAGCCCGTAGTGTCGTGCTTCTAGCTTCTGCCGTAGCTCGTAATTCTGCGTGCCCTAGGTACAAGTTAGTGTCCTGCTGCACAAAGTGCGGCACCTCTCGCGATGACCCACAGTGGTCCATCGGCAGGTTCGCAAAGGACTTTTCGAAGCCCAGAGTTGGAAAGTGAAAAGCTTCATCCAAGACCAGCTCCAGCAGAAGCAGATTTTTATCTTTGGCGTGCGTGGTGAAGCCAATGTTGCAGATTTGTTCACCAAAACTTTGAGTTGGATTGTTACCTTGAAACACATGTGGGGACTTGGCTTGCGTGACGTTGCCAGTGTTGCTTGTGTGCTTGATGGCTTTGTTGCGTTGTGCGGTGCAATGCTTGTTGGCAAGAGCCATGTTAGCTTGCGTGACCGTTCTGCCGCCATGCCGCATGCCTCTTGGTTGGTGATAGAGTTCTGTGCCCCCGTTGAGTCGTCGATGAGAGCGGCTAGTCAAGACCTTGACTGGGTGAATGTGCTTTCCGTGAGTGAGCGTGATGATGGTGCCAGTGCACAGACCTTGCTTGAGCTCAAAGCCATCTTTGCTGCACAAATCAAGAAGAAGGGTTTTGTCTTCTTGTGGGCCAGTACCCCGTGTACCGGAGGATGCCCATATCAGAGGCTGCGTGCCCGTGATCCAGCCTATCGCCGTGGGCGATTGGCGCAGCACTGGAGGCTTCACCGAAAGCTCTGGAAAAGCTTGGTCGAGCTTACTAGCTTCGTGCACGCTTGGGCCATTGAGTGGCCACGTGCTTGTGCTTACTGGTCTTGGCGCCAGACTGAGCACTTTCTTTCTTCACGCCCCTACGTCTTGCACGACGTTCCAGTAGACGGTTGTGCGCTTGACATGCGAGGCCGCGATCATCTTCTTATTGCCAAGCGGTGGCGTGTTGTTACCACACACCCAGCAGTTGCTGAGAGCATCCGTGTCTATCGTTGCTCTGGGAAGCATGAGCACTCGAAGGACTTCGACCTCAAAAGTACACAGCACTACCCGGTAGAGATTGTAAAGTCCTTCTTTGAAGCGTTGCGCCCTTGACTTTTTACGAGAGTCTTGTCGTTGTCGAGGACATGTTGTTGCATGTTTGCTGCGCAGCCCGTTTGCTCAAACTTTCCGGTGTTTTCTTTCTTTACCAGGACGTTTAAGATGTCTCTGGTTCCTTTCGCTGCCGAGCGTGCCATGGTGTTTGGCCTGGTTGTGGAAGTACAAGAGAAGTTGCTCGAAGTACCGAGTGTCGGGCTTCTCGCCGTTGTGCTTGTCCCACTGCTTGTGGGTGTTGCGCTTGGAGTGTGCTTGCAAAAGCTGCGTACCGAGAGCTCCCGCGTCAAGACTGTGCAGGATCTTCTTTCGTTTCTGCCAAGATCGGGCCAGAAGATGGCTGTCTTTACTTCTGCTCACGGAGACTGTTTCCACGTGCGTAGGAACTGCCACGGCCACAGGAACGCGATTCCGAATCGCATCGCTGCTAAAGTGGCGTGCGAGTACTGTTTAAGGGATCTCCACCTGGTACCTCCGACAGCTACTGCGTCGTGGCTGGGTGTAGAAAACCAGTGCTCTGGCTCAAGGTCTGGCTCAAGTGACCGCAGCGGTCGGAGAAGTAGTTGTCTGCAATCAGTCCTGGGCTCAAACTGCGTGCTGAAGAGACCTCAAACAGGTGAATCCCAGGCTTTGTAGCTGAGCTTCTTCGAGCCATCACTTCCAACGCTTTTTGTGCTTGCTCAAAACTGTTTTACATTTATGTTCTAACGCATGATGATTCATCCTTGTTGCTCATCTAGCCGCAAAGCTGCTCGAGCAGAGAAAGGTCAAGAAAGGCATCATGCATGTCTGTGTGATTTTCTGGGTTGTCGTTGACGACTCATGTGTCTTGGTATCTTTACGTTAGACAGCAATCACTTTTACTTTCCATTGACACTGCTTAGTAGTGAGTTGGCTTCCTCAAGGGGGCGTCGCATGGCGGAGCCTTCGTCCGGTGCAGCAAGCCCGGCCAGTGATCCTCCGAGTTCGTCGGTTAGCACAGTATCAGTGATCTCTCGCCACGTGTTTGACTTGCAGATTCAGTTGAATCATTTGCGGGAGCAGAATCAGATCTTAACCGATACACAAGCTTATCTTGAGGAAAGGATCCAGTCACTTGAGTCCTCACGCGAGGTTTCAGAACGACGCCTTACTTGGTTGGAGCAGTTCATACAACATCTGCGCTCGATTTTTAGCCAGCTTCGAGACAACTTTTGATTTCATGGCACTTGTTTTGCTTGAAAAGGCGTTGCAGGCTAGGCAACATGCAGCTCCAGCTGCAAATGTCCTCGCAGTGCCAGCCGATTGCATTAGCAGGGAGCCTTCACAGGTGGCGGCTCCATTGCCAGTTGTGCCTGAATCACAGGGCAGTGCTACCACGCCTTGGGCTCGGCGTGCTGCTCGTCTTCTCAAGCGTGAAGCTTCTGCTCTTGAGGCTTTTTCCATAGCGGATTCAAATGAGGGCGCTCAGGACACCCTCGTGCCTGCTGCGGTACCAAGTGTGTCTTCATTTGATTTGGATTCCTTCGAGTGGGTCTTTTCTGATGAAGTGCTGCCACCTGAGCGCATTTTCTCCAGTAAGGGTTTATGGGTTTCGGATAAGCCTGCACCCCGTCCCGTGCTCATGCAACCCTCGAAGCGCACCAAGATTCCTGAGCCACCCCAGGCTGTACGTCCCACTAGTTTTGCATCCCCTCGACCGTGTATGCGGCCGACAATGTTGCATCACGTCAGTATGGAAGGCCTTGGGTTTAGTCCTGCCCCTCGTCCCACAATGCATGCATCACCGACATCGAGGTCGTTGTTCCATCGCGAGCTTTCGGTTGCAGCAGATCCCCAACCTCAGGGAAACACATTTGTCAGGCCGACATGTAAGCGCGCTTTTCGCCCGCCTCAGCAGCACTCATTTCTTGAGGTCCCAGCGGGACGTGCGGCATCAAGCAGTGGCAGCCTTCATGCAGGGACGAATTTTAGACCTACTAAGGGCAGTGGGACTGTGGAGTTTGCGGTGCAGCATGATGCCAAGAAGCTTCAGTTGGCTCAGGCTCTATGGTTGGAGCTCAAGCCGCTTTTGTTGGAACACTCTGATGTGCTGAGTCAGATGTCGTGCTCCACAAATGAGTTTGTGCTTATTGAAAAATTCTTCAACACCTTGGCCCCTTCCACACTCTTGCGGTACATGACGGCGGTCTTAGCGGTTTTTAGGACAGGTTTCGAGCTTGATTTGCCAGCGATGGATCAGCTTAATCAGGCGCATTTGGTTGATATGCTTTGGGCGACCCACCGGGGGCACTCAGCGGCTGACTTTCAGCCCATCAACACCATCAAAGCCCTTCGCTGGTTCCGTCGCATGCTCAATCTGCCTCTTCCTGATCTTTATAATGGGCTCGTGGCCATGTTGCTGGCCCCTCGTGTTCAACCGCATAGAGAATCGTACCCGGCTCCGATCAGACTGCTGTCCTATTGCGAGGTGATGCTCTTGGAGGCTGAGATGTCTTTGCAAGACAGATGTCACGCGGGTGCTTTGCTCTTGTGTGCACACGCCTCCTTGAGGTGGTCGGATTCCCAGCGCATTCGCTGGTCATCTTTCGAAGTGTGTTCCGATTGCATTTGAGCCGAAGCCTATAAGACCAAAACCACGCGCAGAGGCATGCCTCTGGCAGCGGGGGTTATGGGGTTTCATGGTACTGCTGGTTTTTTGGAGTTCACTTGGGTAGCAGCTTGGCTAGTTGCACTTGGTGATGTATGGCATCGACTGCGCGTCATGCATGGCGATAGTATTGATCCGGACTGTGTTTGGTTTCGTTTTGACGAAGAGACAGGGGATTTCGCGCCCTTATCCTACGCACAGTCGCTGCGCTCGTGGTGCGTGGCATCCGGTGCTTGCGCCACTGGGGCGGAGTCAGTCTTCACTTTGCACTCCTTGAAGTCGGCTTTGCTGTATCTGATGCACCTTCGTGCAGTGGGGAAGGAGGACAGGCTCTCAGCTGGGCATCATCGCCTCGACAGCGCTGCCTTGTATAGCAGATCAGACACCGTGGGGGCGCTCAGAGCTCAGGCTGTTGTCTGCACAGCAGTACGTGCCGGATGGCTCCCTCCCGCCCCGCAGAAGCGAGGGGCAGCTCATTCGATTCCTCAGCAACCGTTGTGCACCTTACAAGCCGTCCCACCTTCTTTTGAGGTTCCGCCTATTTTCGGTCCAGTGCATGTTTCAGTACCTGAGCATGCAGCAGGCACGCATGTGCCCGCCGTGGCTGTCGAGCCTGCACTGGTTCCGCAGGCCGGGCTAGCCGCTGAGGCTTCGCAGGAGGATGATAATGCATTATCGACCGAGCATGCATTGGTGTCTTCAGATTCGGAATCAGAAGCAGAATCTTTGGGCGCTCCCGAGGAGTTTGGTTACTTGGTAAGCGGATCAGGCGTCATGCGTGTGGCCATGCCTTCATCGCATGGCACTCCTTGCAAGGCAGGTCTCGTGCGTCCGGCATGTGGCACGTTGTGCAAGAATCTTAAGCTGTCCATGTCTTTCGCACCCGGGTCCAGGCTCTGCCGTCACCCAGCTTGCCATAAAATTTTTGCATCGGCCGGCTAACAAGCTGCTTCAGTTGTGCACACAGCGTTGCCCTGGGGTTTTTGGCTTTTTTCAGCTGGCTATGAGTTAAATTGGCTGCCAGAATCGGCACAGTATCAGTGGTGGGGGCTCGGGCCCTGGACACCTTCGGGGCGGTATGCCCGTCTGCTAGCCTGTCGTGGGCTGTGGCATACAGCCGGTGGGGGCATCGCCCTGGACACCGCGCTGGGGTTTCGGGTGGCTTTTCTGGTGGGGACTGAAGTCCTGGACACCAGTGGTGGGGTGCCGAATCGGAGTAACTCCTTGGTTGCGTGCTCATAAGGCGTTGCAACGCTTGTAGAGGGTAGTTTTGTCGAAGCTTTGATCAATGGGCTATCGGACATGCCAAAAGAATGCGGTATGCATCGTGGTCGTTCTAGGCAGTCGATGTGTGTAGCTGCCATTTCTCATGCGGTAGGTGTCTCAGGTCAGTTGCATGTGCTGCGAGTGCATGTTGTTCAATGGACACCAACAGGAAGGTTGTCGGCTCAGCTGGTCATGCTAGGACATGTCGTTTTTCTTTTAAGTCATGTCACGAATTTTTTTGTATTACTGGTATGAGCGTACCGAGTGTATTGCATTCTGTTGCGATTATATGTACCGGTAGAGACACTCTCTAGGAAGGGTCATGGCGCTGTCTGAACCCAACCCCTTGTTGGCTCTCTCGGAGGAAGCCACTGAACAGGCGAGGCCGATGCGGGCCTTATTGGAAGGCTCGGGCATCCCGGAGTCTCTTTGGAAGGATGTGGCCGTGTTTGCCCCAGATGAGTTCGGGTCTCTTTCTGATGCAGAAATTCAGGAGTTCTTAGATGGCCTCACGTACCCAGCTGAGCCATCCGATCTGTTGGTGAAGGCCAGGATTCGCCTCTTGTGGCGGAAATGCCACAAGTCGGGGGCACCCTTGCAACCCGATCCTCCCAAGCCTAATCCCGTGGGGAGCACAGGTGCGCTTGCCGATCATGATTCATGGTCTGAGGCATTCCCAAAGCGACTCAGTGGCGAGGCAGTCCGCCAAATGATTAAGGCTTTCAGTGAGAAGTATCCTTCTGAACCATTAAGCCCCGAGATAATGCCATCACCACGACTTTTGTCATTAGTTCATCAGCAATTGCAGGACAGGCGTTGGCGATGGATACCGTGGAAGTTGCGGTTGTCCGAAGAACAATATGACTCTAAGTCTCTTGAGCGTTCCCTTAAGGCACCACGGCTTGAAAATCTGTTATGGGAAGAGATACCCAGTAGAGAGTTGCCCACGCAGGGCATGGCCAAGAGTGTTATGGCAGAACTGCTTCATTTGCAGGCAGTGGCGATTGCGCTAGCAGACGGCGCCCACCTCTACACCCTGCGGGAGATGAACCGCAAATTTCTTGTCAAGTGTTTCGATCACTTACCTCGGGATGGGGGGTTGAGA